TTGCCAAGTGGATCGTCGCAAGTCCAGGAGTTTGCCAGAAGTCCGTAGGAGCGTCACCGAGGGTTCATCGGAGGTTCGCCGGAAGAAGCGATTGACGCACCGGAGCAAGTTGCAGTAAACGTCTTAGAAAATATCGTAGTTAGCACAATGATTAAGTTGGAAATGGGAGGTGATCCCATTAACTTAATCTTGGGGCAATTGGGCCCCTAAAATACCCAAATTGGGCCGAATGGATCAACCCATTCGGACCCTGATTATTGTGGGAGGTGCAACCGCCCAGGCCAGGAGGTAGCACCGCCTAGGCTAAGTCTCCGAGTGAGACTGGGCGGTGCAACCGCCCCAGCCAAGAGGTGGCACCACTTGGGCTCAGTCTCCGAGCGAGACTAGGCGGTGCAACCTCTCCTGACAGGAGGTAGCACCGCTTGAGCTCAGTCTTCGAGCTCTAGCAAGCGGTGCAACCGCCCCAGTCAGGAGATGCAACCGCCTGAGCTCGGTTTTTGAGCTCTGGCAGAGAGGTGCAACCGCCCCTGACAGAGGTGGCACTGCCCAGAGGCTCAGTCTTCGAGCTCTGCCAGGCGGTGCAACCGCTCCAATCAGGAGGTGCAACCGCTTGATCCCGGAATTCCGAGAATTGACAGTTTTGAGCTCCAAATTTGAACTGGGTTGGGGCCTATAAATACCCCACCCATTCAGCACTGATATGCATCAACTTACACCGAAATCTTGATCTTTTTCTGTGATTCTTAGAGCTCAAAATTGTTGTAAAGGCCAAAAGTTCTTCTCCCTCTGTTCTTCCAAGTTCTGAGTTGTAAAGAGAGGAGAGAAAATTTCTGTAAGGGTTGTCTCCTAAGCCCGTCAAAAGGAGTAAAACTGTAAAAGGGTGGTTGGCCTTCGCCTATTGAAGGAAGGCTTCTAGTTGATGTCGATGACCTCGTCGGTGGAGGAAGCCAAAAGTGGAGTAGGTCAAGATTGACCGAACCACTCTAAATCTCGGTTTGCATTTACTTTGAGCATTTTATCTTTACTACAAACCTCCTAAATAGCTACTGCCTTCTGCGCTTTTACGAACGAGTTTCTAAGTTCAGAACTTTTCGAATCTGCGTTTAGACGTAAATCAGCTTTTTCGTACGATCATTACATTTCAGTTTACGTTTACGTTTTGATTTCAATCATAACTGCAAACTGCCTTCTGCACATTTATAAAACGTATCTCAAAGTTCAGTATCATCAAAATTGGCATTTAGACGTAAACCGGTTTTATCGTACGAATGTCGCATTTCAGTTTGCGCTTGCATTATGATTTTCATCATAAACTGCAAACTGCCTTCGTAGATTTATTTTAATGTCATCTTGCTTAATCTTAAGTTAAAGTAATCTTAGAATTGGCTTTTACATCGAAATCGTTTTTATCAAACGAACGCAGCTTTCGATTTTAATAGTGAAAGATTTTCGCTGCACTAATTCACCCCCCCCCTCTTAGTGCTTTTGATCCTAACAAATAAGTATTCAAAGAACTCCACATCTCGAGATTATTAGACTCCAAATTAATAAGTTTATAAGCCTTGCTAGTTGAGGCATAGCCTACAAATGCATATTGATTCTTCTATGTTCCAGCTTTGTCCTTTGAGGATCATTATTCTTATAATATTCATGACACCCTCACACTTTAAAATAACCAATGTTATGGAGAGATCTTATTCTTTTTAGAGGGAATTCTATTTAAAATATGATATGCAACTAATAAAATTTCTCTCCATAAATTATAAGAAAATTTAGCATGCAATAACACAGCATTAATCATCTCTAGATAACTTCTATTTTTTCTTCATTAATCATCTCTAGATAACTTCTGTTTTTTCTTTCTGCTAATATATTTTGCTTAGGTGTTCTAGGTGCTGATCATTCATAAATTATGTCATATTATTCACAAAACAAGTTAAATTCATTAGGAAAGTATTCTCCTCCTCTATCATTTCTTAAAACTTTAATTTTCTTTCCATTTTTAACTTTTACTTTATATGTCTTAAAAGTATTAAAAGCATCATTTTTATGTTTTAATAAGTAAACCTAAACATATCATCTATAAAAGTAATGAAATATCTATTACCTCATCTTGTTAATATGTCATTTAATTCATAAATTAGTATACCTTTCAACACATTTGAAGGGTTTCTTCATCATCTTTGATTTAATATAAATTTTACATTTATTAAGATCATCAAAATGATAATTTATTAAGTCATACTTAACTATTCTTTTAATGATGCTAGTTCTAGTTCCAATATGTGCTAATCTATCATGTCATAATGAATAAGAATTAACAATATAAACAGAAGCAACATCTTTATTAAATTTAGAATCATTGTCAACAATAGATAATTTGACCATTCTCTCAACGGAATAGTGTTTTTCAACAAAAGTTCTATTACGAGATAGAATTAATTTTTTGAATTCAAATACATATTTAATTCTAAGTTTGCTAAGAAGATTCTTACTCACTAAATTTCTATTCATATCTAGTACATGAAGAATATTAGTAAGAATGACTTTCTTTCCCAAAGTGAAAGTGAATTCCATATTTCCCTTGCCAATCACCTTAGAACAAACTTCATTTCCCATTTGAATCTCTTGCCCATTTGTGATTTCTTTGTAAGTCTTGAAGAGTATCTTATCATAGCAAACATGGATGGTAACACAAGTATCATACCACAAACTAAAAACTTTACCAAATATGGTATTCACTTCACTCACCGTAGTGATTATATTATCATCTCTCTCAACCGAGTTGACTTTCAATTTTTAATTTTTTTTAAATTTGTAGTCCCTAGCAAAATGACTAGGTTTTCCACGAACAAAATAACCTCTACTCTTTGGCTTCTTGAATTTTTTTTTTATCCCTTTTGGGGCCAAAATAATTCTTCTTGTTTTGCTTATCTTTGTTGGAATTCTTAGGCTTATTTACGGTATTTGCTTTTATATTGCTAAAAGAGTTCTCACGCTTATCTCTCGTCCTCAGTTTCTCCTCGATTTGAAGATATTTTTAAATTTACTCCAAAGTGATACCCTTGTAGTAATGTAAAATCTTCTTCCTATACCCTTTCCAAGATGAAAATAACTTAATTATTATAACCTCTACTTGAAAAGGTTCATGAAGTTTGATTTTTTTAGCCTTCAATTGATTAACAATGACCTACAACTCATGCACTTGTGTCAAGATTTACTTGTCATCCACAAACTTATAATCAAAATATTTAAAAATTAAAAATTTCTTTGTACCTTCCTTCTCGGTACGATACTTGAATTCCAAAGCATTCCAAATTACTTTTGTAAATGGTTCCATTGTATAAAGATCATAAAATCGGTTCGAAAGAGCATTGAGAATGTGTCCTCTATACATAACTTCATCTTTATTTCTCTTCTTTTGTTCGGTCTTGACTTTATTGGTGTCATTGTCGGTCGGATCAAGAATTGATTGAAGATTTAGATCAAGCACATAAAAGATCTTCAAAGCAGTCAATATGAACTTTGTCTTGTCTTGCCAATGGAAAAAATTCGTTCCATCAAAATTATCTAAACGAATAAAATCTTAATTCAATAATTTGATGATATTTATGACCTCCACGATGAATTTGTATAAACTCACAAAATATCATTTTTAGATTGTCGATGAAAATACTATAGAAATAAATAACAAACACAAGATGAAGAACACTATAGGAAATATATTTAGGTTTGAAATATATATAAACACTTTTCTAAAAATGATATTTACATAATCTTCTCATTGCTAATATATATATATATATATATATATATATATATATATATATATATATATATATATATATATATATATATATATATATATATATATAATCTTCTCATTTTTAGATTGTTGACGACAAACCTCGTACTCCTCTTGTTTCTCCTTAATTAGTTTTTTTTTGGAAAAATAAATTAAGAAACATGAAGTGTTTTCTCTACTACGTAGCCACAGTCAGATTGAGAACTATCCTAAGAAGCAAGAAGGCTAAAGAAAATTCATGTTCATCCATGACTTACCCATTCTATACATTGACAATGCACCCGTCAATCAAATTCCTTTTTTTTTTTTTTTTTTTGCCTAACTTTCATAACTATCGTTGATGATGTCCTACGAAATTTGGAGAGAAAGTTTGGTTCTAGTTTTTCATGTAAATGTAGTGTCATTTCTCATGAGGGTTAGCCAAGTCAAAAAAATACTTTCCCCTCGTATTACACTACTCTTTGGATGGATGAGCGAAGATAGATATCTAGCAGAATTTGCTTGATATCTTTTTGAAACTATATATTTAATGTATAATTAAAAACACATGAGGGAGGATCAATCACGTGATAAAAAAAAATACTGTATTACCGAAACCGAATATGAGATATATCAGCTGTACAATAACATATAATATCTAGATAAATTAATAAAGTCATGAAAGGATAAAAAGAATAATCAGAACGTATAATTTATCTTAGTTTAAAGAGTTTGAGATTATATCTATTTGATCAACTTTTTTGGGTCACAATTTAAATTTTTAAATCAAAATAAATTTATTCCAGCTACTTGACTGAAATGCCCCTATCATCTGGGGATCCTTTTAGCCCAAGTTCCCCTGTAGCCATTACCATGCCCTGTTTACTTTCTACCCGGAATCCCTTATCAAGCCCAATATAGGGTGTGCGTCCGGCCCGTTGTAATAGCTTAAAGACGGACGGGCTTCTGCGTGTCACCCGTGGAGCTGGCGCTACAAGAACAGCGCGATTTCCCCCATCCGATTCTGCCGTCGTCCGACGCCGAAGCCCTACTTCGCCGACCGCCGTCCACCGTTAGCCTCTGCCTCCACTGCCCTAGGAAGCGGAGGTAGAGCGGTGACGCTTGTCGAATACGCCCTCATCGATCCATGGCTTTTGTATCGTAGGGTTTAGAGAAGCTTGCGAGCAGAAGTCGATCCTCGTGTGGGTTTGTAATCAAAGGTTTCCCTTATAACCCGACCATCGATCCCCAACTTTCTTGATATGTTCCTCATCCAAGGTTTCATCTAGAGGGTCTTTTCCAGTTGGGAGCAGCAATGGCGGACTTCCAGACCTCTACCCATCGGTCGAGGTGGATCTTTTCACCTCAGGAATTGGTATATGCAGTCGTTCTGTTGCTTCTCCGTTTCATCAATGCCTAAGTGTGGTAGTTATCGGAGATTTCGAAAAAGTCACGATCTTTGGGATTAAAGTAGCTTCTTTATCGGAAATTGTTCTTGACTAGAAACCTGTTCTTATGTTTGCTGGGCTTTGCGAGTCCATATGATTCTGATCCCTTTTATTTGATATTATCATGAAATTTTTGCCGTCGTAATAAATGCTTAATATTTTGCTCTTCTTACAGTTGGAGAAGCGTGAGGCTGCTAACCAAAGAGCCGCTAAGTCGCTCGAACAGGTGTTTTCAGTAAAGCTGGCTCTTTTTTGCCCCTTCCTATTGGTGCACTAGTAATAGCTTTGTCAATCGTATATTTGCTACTCACGTGCCCCAATTAAACTGTATATTTGCTACTCAGGTGCCCCAATTAAACTTTATACAACTCCTAAGTAGCTGTTATGTTTAGAATCTTGCTTATTTTGGTGGACGTTATCATCATTCTTTTCCCTTCGATGCTTAAAAGTTTTGCACTTCTTTATCTGCTTTGTGATAACCTTTTAAATATGCTTATCAATACTGGTCTAGATTACCTAATCTTTCATGTAGTTTGGAGTGACACGGTTGGAAGTTCATCTTGATGGGTCAGTCTCATATGTTGAACCTATACTTGACCAGAAAGATAATGGTAACATCTTGTGAATCTCTACTTTTGCTTTGGTATATGTCTCCTTTATCTACTTTTTCATTGTATGGCCATTTATGCTGGATTTTTATAACATTGGCAATCTTGCGTCATATTCTCTCAGCTGAGCGCTCACTTCCCAAGCCTCTTAACTGTGAAGAGGAACAACATATGCGTATTTTCTATGAGCAAAAAATCCAAGAAGTTTGTCTAGCATTCAAATTTCCACACAAGATTCAGGTAAATTTATTTATTTATTTATTTCTGTACTCATGGTAGAATAGCTGATCTCATGCAAATTGTGCTTTTACCATGCAGGCAACAGCAATTATGTACTTTAAAAGATTCTATTTGCAGTGGTCTGTAATGGAGCATCACCCAAAACATATAATGTAAGAATATAAGTTACAATGTTGGTTTGTTCATAGCTTATATAATTTTTCTGAATATAGCTACTTTTAAGGCTAGGTTGTTAATTTTGGACTGCTTCTGCACTTCGAGAAAAAAGAAAAAAAGTATACTTCATGTTGGAACACTTTATACCTAAGAATTCCAGTTGAGGTTTTGATGCCTTTTTAAATAATCACTTCCTTAGGTTTATCTTCCTTGGTTGTTTAAGCTTTCATTAAGGTGAGTTCATAATGTGTTCTAAATGTATAATCAAGGTTTCTTTTTTCTTGTGCAAACAATAGGCTAACTTGCATATATGCTTCCTGCAAAGTAGAAGAAAATCATGTATCAGCTGAGGAACTTGGGAAAGGAATTCAACAGGATCATCAGATTATTCTCAATAATGAGATGGTTGTTTATCAGGTGCATATCTATTTCAAATTTATATTCCAGATACTTTATTATGTTTGTCTTGTTTCTTCATATTGCCTTTCTCTGATGTCGACCAATTTCAGAGTCTTGGTTTTGATTTAATTGTATATGCTCCGTATCGGTCAGTTGAAGGTTTCAATGAGGACATGCAGGTGAAATTTCCTGTTTCTGTTAATGCATTTACAGAACATGTTTTTGTATGAAAAAGAGTTTCAGCTTGGGCATTTTAGATTGTTTGCCTTCTTGCTTGATTATGCTTTGATTTTAATGCAAAATTTTGCAGCACCTGCTATGATGATTATCAATGACTAACTCTTTGTCTTGATTGTGAAGGAGTTTTGTCATGCAAGGGATGAAGAGCAGGAGAAGTTCAAGGTACATCCTTCTGCTGTTAACTAATATCAAGCTTGGTACTATTAGTGCTGGGTTCTATTGCATGACATATGTCAAAAAAAATTATCATTTTCATCATTATTTTGTTTATAGACTAGTTTCATACCCATTGCTATGTGCTGAATTTCCAACACTGTATCGGAGAATAGATATGGTGCAACAATTTACAATTATAGACATCTATAAACAACATTATCAAGAAGGGTTTATACTATCAATTGCTGTTGGAGAATATCATGGAACCATTAGCCATCTCCTACTTGATTGTAGCTTCAAGTAACATAGCTCCATTCAAGGACTGGTACATACTGGTTTGCGTTTGGACCGATATGTGGCCCACTCCCGTTTCGGGCGGTTCAGTCCAACTCAAGGAAAAAATAAAAAAGAAAACCTAAAATAATGATGGGGCTCGTCCAACCCAACATTTAAAAAAAAAACTAAAATAACAACTAGGGCTCGCGCAAGCCCCTCTTCTTGCGACTCTACCATCGTTGTTGTTGTTGCCATTCAATGTTGTATCAGCCTTCTTTTCGTGACACTACAATCGCCACCGCTGTCATTCAATGTCACATGATTCTTCTTCTCATTGTTGTCATCGTCTCGTGATGCTACTGCCATCGCCATTGCCATGATTCTTCTATCTCTCCAGGTGTACTTACACCTCTTCTCTTCTTTCTTCTTTCACCTCCATCGCTTCCTTTTCTTCCTCCTCTTATTCCTTCTTCCTTCTCCTCTACTGCTTCTCTCTTCTTCTTCCTCTGCCACCACTTCTTCTTCTTCCTCCTCTTCCTCCACTGTCTCTCCTTCCTTCCTTTCTCCTTTCTTCCTCCACCCACCCTTCCTCTTCTTTTTTGTCTTTCTCTCCAAAATGCTGGTATGGACCAGTGTATTGACACATGGTACACCAGTATTGATCAGTATGTACTAGTCTGATAGATCACCGAAATAGGTTCAGTACCCGAAACAGTTATCTTTGGCTCCATTACAGAGACTGTAAAATACATTGTGATCTTAAATTTACACTGCATACCAGAAGAAGCAATGGCATTTTGGAACAGTGTGAGGATCTTCTTCCAATGGCGCATTTGCAGATATCAGAGCAAGAAAATCTTTTGGCAGAAACAACTCTTCCATTATAGATACTGCAAGAAATGCAAAAACTTTTCAGTGATGGAAGTCTTTTTCTATGCTAAATGCTCATGACCTAGACCTGCTAAAGAATCTTCTTTCTAAAATAATGTCCTCTCAGCCTTTCCCTATTTATGACTCTCCCCGACTTGTTTGTACCCATAATTGCCCTTCCCTTAATTATAAAATCTTACACATTCTCTACATTTTTCTTAATGAGATAGTGCATTGGTCACAGCCCACTGCTATTTCTAGTATAAAAAAGCAGCATCACTGTATCATAATTGTACATGTTAACCCACTTATTGCATTAAATTAGTCATACATCTGAATCCTTTCCCCTGAAGACCTACCCAGAGTTTTACTGGTACTAAATTTGGACATATTTCACATATGCCACTTTGTATTTCCCTTTTCTTTTGGTTCAGTGAGACTAATATCAAAGGTTTTCTAACAGAACTACAAGTCAGGTTCGAACAATAATTTAGCAAATTATGTAAAACTTTCAGTCCATTTTGGCTGTAGTTTTCAGTTAATTGTAAGAAAAGCTTAATTTGAGGATTTTGTTTGACTTTTTCAACTATCTGGTTCCTGTAAGGTGATTGTATAACAACAGAAGTATATTGTTAGTGTCAAGGAAAAATTATTGGTAAAAGGATGTAATAATGTTGCTTAAGCATATTTGTCTGCATGGATAGATGTGCGTGCAAGTCCAGTTTTTGTGAGGCTTGATTAAATTAGATTGTTAAAGCATACATTGTTAGTAGTTATCTAGTTTTGATAGTAAAAAATGTATCAATCATATAGCATCTGAGTGCTTGTAAGTAAGCCTTGCATGCCTTTGCTTTTAAGATTTTCACTAATTCCCTCCAATTGCATTTCAAGAACTTCCTGCAAACTGCTAATGCAGAGGTAGACAGGATAATGCTGACTGATGCACCTCTTCTCTATCCTCCTGGGCAGGTGATATGCTTATTCCAACTCCAATTTCATGCAAGGTTATTATTATTTTTCTTAATTTCAAGTGAAGCATCGATGGCTTCCTTTTTCAAAAAAGTTTTGCCAATCTTTGTTATAATGGCTTTTTTTTCGGAGTGTCATGTCAGAGGACATTATACCTAAGAAACTGGGCTACGAAACTCCACATTTCTAGCATCTGGCACGCTCCTTGTTATTCCTTTCTTGGCTATATGGACATGTTCCCAGACTGTTTTGTGCTGAACCTGATATGGTCCATGTGATTCTTGATTGGAGAGACATCATGCTAGTATGAAGGATCCTATAGTTGAAATGCTTGACTCTGTGCTTAATCCTTTTGTGATTGAATTATGATTAATTAGATATTAATGAGATATTATTTCTATTGAGACATCCGATTAGTTAGTACATTATTATACAAGTGATAGGTTAGGTTTGAGACCACGTGTGAGCCTCAAGTATACCATTTAATATAATGAAATTTTTCATAAAAAAGATTAATGAGATATTAAAATATTTTACTATCATAGTCTTCACAAATACCTGTTGGCCACATGTAACCAAATATGTTGTAATTCTAAAATGTTTGATTCTCATTAATTTTAAATTGTAAGCATCTTTCCCCAAATCTACATTGATGTATTATGAGGTCTTCTAAAGAACCTTTTTCCTGCTTTTCAGTTGTCACTGGCTTCCTTGCATAGGGCAAATGAGGTGCACGGAGTCCTCGATTTTGAAAGGTACTTGAATATTTCTGTGAATTTTTCTCTTATTTTGGCAAGCGAGAATTTTTTTTACTTTTGGTTCCAGGTTATGACATATGCCATGTTCAATTAATATTGCAGATATTTGAATATCCTACTGTCTCGACAGCACTCTGCGTACTCTACTTCTCAGCTATTTGAATCTTTGAAGTCCATTGATACATTGGTAATTGTCATCAAAGTTGAGAAGTTTTATCATTCTTGGTGGTGTTTTGGTTGCCAAAGTACCAGTGGAAGTTAACTGCAATTCTGTAGCAATTATACTTGGTTTTTGATGAATTACTTTTCTGCATGATTCTGGACCTGATTGTTTTGATGCATAATTTTGTGCAACTTATTCATTCTTCTTTCTAGGTTAAAATTTTATCAGATCTGCAGATACCAGTGCAAATTGAGTTATCAATATCTTGTCTTTAGCACTGGTTCTTAGGACACTGTCACTACTTAACATAATGGTTTTTCATGTCTAATTCCGAGCACATATAACTCTGTTCTGAAACAAGTTTGTATGAGAACTGCCTTCTGAGAAGCTGATTTAATTAATTTTCTGCTAATGTCCCTCAAAAGGTAAGGGGACATAAAGTTTACATATAAATGAGTGAGGCTGATAAATTTACAAAATTGTTAAAAGCGTGACTTATTTTTTATATGGTGCATGAATCTTTAAGATGATAGCTGACACAAAAGTCACTCAATCATGGGACCTTCAACAGTTCTACATATCTGATGCTTGCAGTTGTGGGTCTTCAATATACTAGTAGGTAGTATCATCGTTCACACAAGGACTGCCTGTAGTCTGATGGTGTAACAGGAAATGAAAAGCAAGGAGCAGATTGATTATACATTGTAGGAATAAATTTTGTGATCATGAGAAGAAACTTAGCACATAATTTGATATGTTCTTAGTATTTTGGGTATGTCTTTAAATAGTAGCATCTATCGCTCTAGAAAATTGAGGTTTAAATAGATCTCATCTTTCTTGAGTAAGGATTAATTGGCTCATGTTTAAGAAGGAATTCCTTTAGGACTAAATACCAAAAGTCTCACTGATTTGTTCCTATAATTGAAGTTGTCATTCTTCTAGGATTGTGGATTTGGCATATGCTGTCGAAAGCTCAGGTTTAATTTATTAAATTCTTTAGAGTTCTTTCTCCATATTTTGATGGTAAGCGTCCACAATGTATATCTTAGTTATTCATAATATAGAATTGAGTTTCCTTAATAGTAAAACTGTTGGCCTGTGTCCCTTACCAGTTTTGGTAGCTTTATGATACTGTCTCTTTTTGTTGGTTAGAATAGTTCGACTTCTAGTTTTTTTTTTTCCCATGACTTCCTTCATGTAAAGCCACCTGAGCTGTTGGTTTTTTATTCTATTACCTTAACAAAACAGTTGAATCAATTCTCTTAATCAACTTGTTTCAACCTCCCATTAGCAGCAGTTACTTTCCCTGGTGCATACTTGATCTCTGTAATTCATTTTCTAGTTCTTGTAGGAATACATAAAGAGGCCTTCATCATAGAATTTTAAAACTTAAAACATAGTATTTATTTTATTATCATCTCTCTCTTAGGAAACCAGTGTCAGCCTGGCAGTGGTAGGCTATTGAAACTCATCACTATTCAAATCCAGTGTCCTCACTGAAGCATGTCGAGACTTTCATCTCCTTTGCTAGCATAGAAAATGACAGTAAATTGACCATACATGTTGGAGCTTTGTAAGATTGCCATCACCAAGGATAGGCTTAAAACATTAGACCTTGCTAATAACATTGCTAAAATTATGGAAAGTTTTGCTATTGATACCGAATGAATTCTCTCCTAGATTAGTGGAAATCTTGCTGTTGGCTCAGTGGGTTCTGTTTCTGATCTGTCAACAACTTCTTGCAGGTAGGTAAACTTAACATACCAACAGCGAAGGACATGAGGCACATTGATCGGAAACTGAAAAGCTGCTGGGATCCAAGCTCTCAAGACGAGTACTCTCTCTATTATGCCATCTACTGTGATGCTTCTCGTGGATTTTTCATTATCTTACTGTTCTTGTTCTTATATGGGCATATTCTGCAGAAACAAGAAGCGTGAGAAAAGATCGAAGCACAAATCAAAAAGAACAGCAAGCGAGATGCAAGGAGCACGTGCATAAATGTACATCCCATCCAATTATCTAGAGTCAGAGTCCACAGGAAAACTTCATTATTTTGATCTTTCCTAATTCTTCTTCTTCTTCTACACTTTTCTCAATTTTTTTGACGTTTGCAGGTAGCAAGTTCTGCACTGCAGTGGAGGATGTGCACAATATTGCATCCAACATCCTGAGTTATTATGAACCATGGTCCCTACCTCTGTTTGGTGCAATTTTTTGTGGGCCATTTTCGGATATCAATTGTGATTGATTATTGAGTCATTGTTTTGGTTCAAGTACTTGAGGTGTTGAGTCATTTTGTGGGCACGTATTTTATCGAGCCAGATGGAACCATTTTCTCTTACATCACATTTGTTTCTCAGGTTCATTCGACTTTGGCCAATTTGAGGGAAAAAAAACTTTTGGCCTTGTTATGTGTGGCTCTCTTTTTTCCTTTCTGAAATTGACACCTTGCAAAGCTTGGAAATAGCAGCATGTTGGCCATTATAATAAACTATAAAGGCTAAATATTTCTAACATTGGTTGACATTAGTATATCTGAGTTTCAAAAAATAAATCATAATATATTTACAATAAATTTTCATATCTTAGCATCGTAATGAGTTTTCTTTAGGGTGGTATTGATGGTGTTATTAATAAGACCTATCCCAGAAAGGTTAACAATACGCATGCTGCCTTTTCTTTTTTTTTTTTCTTTTTTCTTTTTTCTATTACACAAGGCTTGATACGTATTTCGAAATCAGAGAACAATTAGCGGAGAAAAGGATTTTTTTTAAGGTAAGATGCATGAAGCTCGCTCGCTAAACATTTTATTCCATTCCAACAAACGGAGATGCATGTATGTATGGATGTGCAAATATCAATTCTTTGATGATATTATTGCTAAAAAAATTGATTGCTAAATGTATGATTTGAACAATGTTAAGCCAATCGTATGATATGCTTCCTTCCGCATTCAATATCGTTTATCATAAAATTTTGAACATCAATTCCGTTTTTATCACTTGTCATTTGTAAAAAAAAAAAAAATTATATGGCATACTTCGATCGGAGGCAGCAATGCACTCTCAACTGCTACGACGATCGAGTACTCTCAGATCCTACGGCTTTGGCAGCCGTCGTCGTCGTCGTCGAACACCAACACATGGTCCACCCACTCTGCGTCAACAAACTCCGACGATGCTTCCTTGTCGCTGAAGATGCGGCTTTGGCCATCGTCGAGCACCAACACATCGTCCACTGATTCCGTGCCAATAAACGCGGATAACGCTTTCTTGTCGGTAAAGATGGTCATGTCTGCAACCAGGACGAGCCGGCGACCGGCGAGAAACGTCGCGGCGACAGCGGCGGCCTGAGCCGCGAAGGAGCAGATCTCCTGGGCCCAGAGCTCCACGTCGCCGGGGAGGTGGTGGGCGAGCATGTGGGTCACCTGCTGAGGGCCGAACACGGGGTGGACGAGGTGGGCGAGAGGCAGGACGATGTCGGCCGCGTCGAACGCCTCCACGAGCCCCGGGCCTCGGAAGGAGCCATCGATCTTGGAGATGCGAAGCTCGACGCGCGCGAGGGGATGCTGCGTTGCCGCTTCTTGGACTGCGAGAGGAGCAAAAACTTGGAGATGAACTGCGGTGTTGCCGTGCGAGCGCTGCATCTTCATGGCTTCCTTCGACTTCTTCCGCAACGGAGAGAGAGGAGGAGGAGGAAAGGATGAACGAGAGAAAGGGAGCGCAGGAGGAGAAGTCGAAGACTGAGAGAGACAGAGAGAGAGAGAGAGAGGACGGAGGCGATGGGCGATGATATAGAAACGGAAGGGAAACAAACACCGGGCGAGTCGTAATCCAAGGAGGTATAGGATTCGATTACGGTTGGGAAATAGAGTGAAATCTATCTAGTATCCTAATCCCAAACCGACTCGGATACTACTTCTTTTTCTATACTGACTCAGCTCAAGTTGACATCGGAATCTAATTTTGAGCCCATATATTTATGAGACAATCCATTAAAACAAAAAAAAAAAAAAATCATTCGACGGACAGACAGTCCAATTTTCACAGTTCAAATACCCAAATAAACTTGTGTCGTTATTTCTGCATCAAAGTAATGGTAACTTTGGTGCAACCTCCTGCATGGATGGAACTGCCTCAAATGAGACATCAACAGATTATTTATTGATTTATTTATTCCATTCCTCAATATGACGAGAACACCTTATCAATCTGACCCTTCGAATTAAAACAGATTAGCCACTATACTTGCTTCTACACAATCTTCTACCGGCATCTTCAAATTTTATTTATTGGATTGAATCAATGTCACGTGGAGGAGGAGGGCGAGTCTTCGTATGATATTTATTCTAAAACTAAATTGTATCATAATTATATCTTAAATAAATAGATCCGGTGATGTACCACCAGATTCTTTTATTAAAAAAGATTTTTATCTTCAGATTCTGAATTCGGATATTATTTTTACTATTTATCATTTAAAAAAAATGTATATATATATATATATATATATATATATTATGACTCGATAGAACACTTAAATTGAAGCCAGTTAGAAAAAAAGATGAAAGGCGGGTAAACTCTTTTTTTCCTTCTCGCTGGATCCTGTAAGATCTGTTCTGGATTTTGGACGCCTTCTCTCGGATGAACACAAGATTTTGTCGCCTCCGCTAGATTTTTGGTCGGACGACCATGTCGGGACATTACTCTTCTTTTAGATTTTGTAAGCCCACGAAGCTGTCCCTTCTGGAAGCGACTTATGCCGCTTTGGGTACCAGAACCATCCCAGGTGGCGCCCGCCGCTTGCCTCTCGCCGTCTCCAGAAGCTCCCCGCGCCTTATCTCTCTTCTCCTCCTCTTCTTTTCTTCCCCTTCCAAACTCCCAGGTTTGCCACCCTCGGCGGATCTCATCGGCCTAGGTGAAGTAAGAAGAAGCCTCCACTTCCGTTTCCTCTCTCTTGATTTCCTGTGAATGTCTGCTTTATGTTGTGTTCTTCACTGTGCTTGTTACTGTTGTTTCCCTCTGCAATCTCGGGGATGGGGGGTCAGTATACCACGTGGGGAACTCGTTTATTCTGGAATCGTAGTCATAACTTGATTTAATTGTCAGGATGAGTAGGCTTTCGATTTGTTTTGGTTTACTTTCATTTCTGGATTGGTCCGAATGTTTTGAGATTTTCTTGCATTAGTTGGTATGGTGATTGGGATCCTCGTTTCATCTGTCGATCTTCTTGAATCCTGTTTTTAATGACGAGATGCAGCCTAGTTTACTACTGCACATTTTCTTAAATAATCAGTGCCCTTTGGCCTTTGTTTCCCTCTTTTGATGTTGGGGTCTAATGCTCTTCTGGAGCTTTTGTCGTAGTGAATGAATCCCTTCACCGTTTCTGACCTTGTTTAGTATCAGGGTTTTTACCTTCTAACCATGGTGAATTTAGTCATGGGGTTGTCTTTTGTGAATCTGACTTCTGATCATCATCAAAGTATGAAGCAGTTCATGTATGTAAAGTGTGAGAAGTTCTTTCTTGTAAAGGATGCAGTTCTGGGCACAAATTTGACATCAAGTAGTCATCAGACATGTAGCTAATGGTTGGTTTGCCCATGCATCAAGCAATAAAGATACTTTCAGATAAGGGATGAATCTTAATTCTAATTGGCTTTTCTGTCGATCTAGGAACCCATCCCTTCAGGACGAGACAATTCTGAGTACTTCAATCCAGGTTCCTTGGAGCCGAATAAATGGAACGGTTCGTAAAGCAATATCATTGATCCATGTTCCGTTTTTCGCTAGACTCATTTTTGAACTCTTTTCTATAACGAGAATAATGATTTTGGTCCTTTCACTGCAATGTTTCATATGGATGCTTTCTCCTATTTTGCCTTGATGTTCATATTGGATGGCTCTCGTTCTCTTAATAGAACACAATATTTGGATCACCAATTTTTCATTTGGCTTATCAATTGCGTGAATGTTGAGCATGGGCTTGAGTACCTGATGACTTCTTAATCACATTATTTGAAATTGTGTGACTTCATATCTTTAAGCGCTACGGAGAGCTAGAGTTGTTGTTCTTCTTTTCCTTTTCCCTATTGCTAGAATGGGTAACATGTTGCCATAAAATGTTCTTTATATTTTTGGTATTACAATGAATCCACATCATTCTAAGTTGGAGATAGAGCTGCTCAAGTTAGATTAGTCTCGGCTATAATTATCTCAGCCCTGAGATTAACATAACATTAGTTAGATCTTTGTAATCCTTTTAGCCCAGAACTGTGAGTTTGATCGATCTTCTGTGGACCAGATTTCTCCTTGCGATCATAAGCTAGTATGTGCTGTTGACATCCCTGCTTGTAGGCCACCACAACTTTACTATTTCGCTGGGCTTCTTTTCCTCTCTTGATTCTGAAAAGCTTCAAATGCTGAATCATGCCAACTGATGTTAATAAATTCAACTCATACGATAACCAAGAGATACTAATAGAGTAATCATTTTAAGTTTTTTTTTCCTTAGTAATATTGTAATGTAATTGATAATACACTACTTTATTTAGGTATCGGTCCGTCTGTTGATTTGCACTGAACACAACATCTCATTCTATTTTTGTTTATGAATCCATGCAAAGTTGAAATGTAAAAGGAAGCGAGAGAACTCAGACTGAGGCAACTACATGGGAAGCATCATAATAGGGCTATTGTTTGAGATTCTATGTTTTTCGCTAAACCTACATGAGGATGACATTCAATGTTGCATTTGTTTCGTCCTTTGCAATCTGAGGAAGAAAACGACCAATCAAATGTTTCTAAAATAAGGACATGATAACATGGAATGTAGTAGTCATTGATAGAGTTATATGGACACAGCATCCATTAATCGGTCCCAAGTTGCAGGGGCTCCTACTTCACAAAGCCATAAAACAAAGCATATGTCCATAACCAACATTGATCAGCAGAAAAGTAAAGTAAATTAGAGACTTGATCATTCATTGTCAAAGAATTATGCAAGTGGATTGATCGTCTCGGAAAATGAGATTCGCTTGGTAGAGATGTTTCTAGTTGGTATTAGCTTTCTCTGTTTTATGTCCTCAATTAATGACAACAAACATCAGAAAAAAGCTGAAGAATGATTTTTTTTTGAGAAATCCTTAGGATAATCAAATCAGTTAGTAAGTATGAATAATATGTTGATTAGTATATACAGTGGTTGGCCTTGGCATTTATCTATCGATTTAGATGGTGACGTGTAGTCCTTCAAGGTATCTTGGAAGTAGTCTAACATAATGTTTGTTGTTATGATTTGTTAAACATCAGTGCCTGGTTTGGAGGACTGATTTACTTGTGATCTCCTTATTCAGGATGGCTGAACAACCATACACGGTAGCTTCAGATAGTGAAACAACCGGTGACGACAAATCACAATCGGCATTTCATGATCTTGCAATTGGAATCGAAGTTGGGACCTCAAAATGTAGTATCGCAGTATGGAATGGTGCACAAGTGGAACTTCTTAGAAACACCAGAAAGCAAAAGTCTATGCGCTCATATGTCATGTTCAAGGATGATACGTCCTCTGGAGAAGTGTCCTCTGGAGGAGCAAGCAACAAAACAGCATATGAGGAAAAAGAAATATTGTCTGGAAGTGCAATTTTCAACATGAAGCGCCTAATTGGGAGAGCAGATACAGACCCAATTGTTCATGCTAGCAAGAACCTCCCTTTTGTTGTACAGACTTTGGGCATTGGCGTCAAACCATTCATCGCAGCTCTAGTTAACAATGTCTGGAGGTCTACCACACCTGAGGAAGTACTTGCCATATTCTTGGTGGAGTTAAAAACTATGGCAGAGGTCCAGCTCAAGCGCCTAATTAGAAATGTCGTTCTTACTATCCCCGTCTCTTTTAACCGGTTTCAGCAGATAAGGGTTGAGCGAGCCTGCGCAATGGCTGGATTACATGTTCTGAGGCTGATGCCGGAGCCAACCGCTGTGGCACTACTGTATGCACAACAACAACAACAACAACAGCAACAATCTTTGCATGGAGGTATGGGAAGTGGCTGTGAGAAAGTTGCTCTTATATTCAATATGGGTGCAGGCTACTGTGATGTTGCTACAACTGCGACTGCAGGAGGAGTTTCCCAAATCAAAGCAATGCAAGGCTGCACCCTGGGTGGAGAGGATATACTTAGGAATGTCTTGTATCACCTTCTGCCAAACTTTGACAGCCTTTACTCAAACCGTGATACGAACAAGATAAGGTCCATGGGACTGCTACGAATTGCGGCACAAGATGCTATCCACAGGCTCTCTACCCAATCTAGTGTTCAGATAAATGTGGACCTGGGTGATGGGACAAAGATGCAGAGAGTCCTGCATCAGTCGGAATTTGAGGAGGTAAACAGAAATGTGTTTGAGATTTGCGAGAAGCTTATAAAGCTGTGCCTGGCTGATTCCAAACTAGCTGCAGAAGACATAAATGATGTCATACTAGTAGGAGGATGCTCTAGAATTCCGAAGATTAGAAGTTTGGTATTGGGGTTGTGTAAGAAAGAGAAGGAATATGAAGGCATGGATGCACTCGAGGCTGCAGTTACCGGTGCAGCCCTTGAAGGAGCTGTTGCTTCTGGAATTACCGATCCTTCAGGAAGCTTGGATATGCTCACCATACAGGCCACTCCGCTAAGCCTAGGAATTCGAGTTCATGGTGGAGGATTTGTGCCAATCATACAGAGGAACACGGCGATACCGGTAAGAAAGAGCACGATCTTCACGACCACTCAGGATGGCCAGACCGAAGCCCTGATTGTTGTTTACGAAGGGGATGGGAAGATGGTGGAAGAGAACCATCTGATGGGCTACTTCAAAGTGACGGCGATTCCACTGGCGCCGAAGGGGACTGCTGAGATAAGTGTCTGCATGGATATCGATGCGGCGAACACGCTTCGAGTGTTTGCTGGTGCAATGATGCTGGGCACAGACCGTGCCAACTCACCTTTCTTCGAAGTGAGAATGCCTACATTGGATGATGCTCATGGTTGGTGCGCACAGGCTCTTGTGAAGACTCATGGCTCTGCTTTGGATTTGACTACCATCCCAAAGGAGTTGCAGCCGCAGAAAGTACAATAAACTGTATCAGCTCATGGGAGATCTCTGACGGGAATATATTTTCGTTTGTAGCCACGTTGTGATGATAGCTGTAAACTGGGAGACTCTATGATCCCTGTGTTCATCAATAAGTTGCAGATGCAGTGTGTGATGGTGTGCAAAAGGTGTTGTAGATTGCTGTTTGTGTCTTGATTGACGGATGTAGTATCGGTAGTTCAATTTGTTTATAGACTCGAAATGCCCTATTTTGTTTACCTCCATGTGCGAAACTAAAATAACGCTCACACAGGAAAACAGGAAGCCATTTGATCCCTGTTGCATGCGATGCTACTATTGAAGAGGACCAGTGGACACGCATATTCCATCTCTTTGCTTCTAATAATTAGAGCGTATTTAGTACAGCACAAAGAGAGCGTATTTAGTACAGCACACAGAGAGAGAGAGAGAGAGAGAGAGAGAGAGAGAGAGGGCGTAGCAGGGTTGACACGCTTCCCTCCTCAAATGGACACGCTATTTGGAATTCCCTTTCCGGTAAGCCCACGCTCGCTGGTGGGGAAGAGCAACGTATAAGGCACCTGCGCTGCACCATTCCGGTTCTTCAAGCTCTCGTCCCCGTTCCTCCCGATGATCTCGTCCTCGATGCGTTTCAGTGTCGACCCGAACCTGTTGAAGGCCACGAGCGCCCTCTGGTCCGTCGTCCACTCCGGCGTGTCCCGCTGACCGAGGTACACCTCGTCGGACGAGTGCATCGACAGGATCTCGATCAGTGACACCCCGAGAATGGTCTGCAGCTGGCTGGTGATAGTCATCAAGAACGCCTTGTCAGGGTGGGCCTTCAGCTCCTCGTACTCCGGCGTGCCTGGCGCCGGCATGAAGCGTCTGCTGATGGTGGGCCTGTTGGGGAGGTAGCCTGCGTAGGGGTACTGCCCGAAGTTGAGGGCGGCGTGGAGGGCCGAGGCCACCCATATGATGGTGGTGCATGCCTGGGTTAGCTCGGAGACCGTCTGCATCTGCGGCCACCAGGCCTCGTCCTTCTTGTCGCCGTGGCCGACCTCCCGGACCTCCTTCCACCATGCCTGCAGCTCGACGTCGGCTTGGAGCACGGCGTCGTTGGGGTAGTAAATGGCGCAGTACTCGGTGACCCACGTCTCGATCGTGCGCCATATCGCTAGGCCGTCGACGGCGTAAGGATAGTCCTTGATCAGTAGGCGGAGTTCATTGTTCGAATCCTTGACGGCGACTCCCCTGAAGCGAAATAGACTCTATCAAGACTAGGCACGAGGAAGAAGAACAGGAAGATGTGTTTGACTTGCGATCACCTCTTGATGAGATCAGCCGGGAGGGCTTGTTCGACGAAATTCCAGTTCTTGTAGACCACGGCCGACATCTCCATCGCGTACTTCGCCGGGAAGACTGTGGCCTCAAGGATGCCACCGGCGTTGATGAGTATCTGCCGAGCCAGAGCGTTGATGTTCATGGTGTCGCGGTAATGGGGAGTGAGAAGCTTGTGGATGGGGTGGAGGACACTCAGGTGCCGATTCGTCGCGATGACGAAGGGCTCCATCGTCGCATGGGTGTTTAGCCTGAAAGCACAGGGATGAATCAGATCTACTTCCAGATCTTATCAGAGGAGACAGAGAACAGAGTGAGCACCAATGGCTGATAAGCTGGTGAACGCCGGAGTCATTGACGACGACATAGGCTTTGGCCAACTCCCAAATGGACCCCTCAACACCGGCTTCTTCTGGCATGTACACCTCGCTGACCGCACCATGCTGTTCTCCGTCGGGGTGCGGCAAGCTGAGCTCGATCGCCAGTGGCTTCAGAGTGGAGTCGTCTCTCAGGAATAAGACAGTTCTGGTAGCGTAGATCTTGCTCGCGGTGGAGTTTATGCGGTTCACGTACGGCATCAGAGCATCGTGGTGATCCAAGATGAACAGCCTGTTGCCACCCAGCGCCTGAAAAGCGCGAAACCCGTAGAGAAGATGAGCTCGTTTCGTAGATGAGACGTGAATCCGCAAAAGTCTCGTTACGTGTACCTGATCGACTGTCAGTCCTTCGAGGTTGTGCTCGATGTGGGCTGCTGTGATTCTGCTGTTCTGGTTGCCATACTTGCTGGGATCAAGCTTGCTAACTGGGGGGAACACTTCCAGCCTTCTAATGATCACAGGGTTGACGCCAGCCAGCATCTCCCGAGCAAACTCCTCGTCCGTTCTCCAAGCGTACTTGTTGACTACAGAAACAGAGGATGGCTCGTATGAAGGTTATGGACCGGAATGATCCGCTAAGCTCCTTGGGACTCGAGATTAATGTACCTTCGATGATTTGGGGGATTGGTAACTTCAGCAAACGCTGGTTGCCTTCGGTGCGGAAGAGCTCCCTGATCATCTCGAAAGGAATCCGGTCTCTGAGCTCATCAAGCAGGGGAACTTTCGCCACTGGTAGCCCACCCTCGTACAGCTTCAGAATATCTTCGAACGAGTCGAATTCGTTGGGGGTTTCATCGGCTATGGCTTCCAGAACTGGAACCACCGCCTGAACTAGAGCTTTGAGGGCGTAGGTGAGGAAGTCGGCCATCTTGAGGTGTCCGAACCGCTCGTCCCGAGGGACATAGATGTCGAGGCTGATCAGTGGCAGTCTGCTCTCGGAGTTGGGATCTGTTGCAGGAATAGTGGAATCAGCGCTGAGTGTTTTACTGAATTCTTGCATTCTTGGCAGAATTACCAGTCTTTGTGGGTGGCCGGCCGGTCCTGCCACGGCGGGGATACGGATACTCCGACGAGCCACCGAGAACCGGCCGAGCGAGAGCTGCGTCACTGTCGGGGTTGCCGAGATCGTTGTAGTACGCGTAGTCGTAGATGCGGTCCCATTCTTGAAGCTGCCCGGTGACATCCTCGCCTCTCAGGTTCAGGAGCTCGTCTTCTCTGTATGGCTTCAGTGGGGCCGGCGTCTCCCCGGGGAGGTAAGCCTGCAACAGTGTCATGACATGGTTAAAGGGAAGTTCCATGGTGCAAATGATGGTGTTCTGCGCAACAATCGGTGGAAGATTGGTCAAGGTCATGTCACGTCAATGACTAAGGTTGAGAGAGAGAGAGAGAGAGATCTTGTCATCTCACGACATGACGTTGCATTAAATACCGGCAGGTCTCAGCCACTCCCGCGGTGGTTTTTAGGCCGCCACAGAGACCTGCTCAACCCTGGACGAAAGCGAGCAAGGAAAGCTGTTGATTACTCACAGTATTGGCAAAGAAGACCCGGTCATACTTGTACTTGTCCGCGGAGTAGACCCAGGAGTTGCAGACGAAGTGAATCCGGCCCTTCCCAGGGAAGTCCTTCAAGGTGATGCTCTTGAGGTAGAACTGCGACGCGTGCCTGTTCTTGACGATGACTGCGCCAGGGACGCCGTTCTTCTCCTGCCAGTGGAACGTGACGTCGAAGGTGGACTCCCCGGCGGCGATGGACGGAAGCTTGCTGACGAAGCCGTCCAGGTAGGCCGGGTCTCCGACGACCCCCCTGTTGCCATGCTCTGAGAAGAAGACCGATCAGGATGCAGCGGAAGCCATGAAAGTGGAGCGAGGTGCATGCTGGGAGCACGTACTTGGGTCGCCGACGGTGGCGCTGACGAGCTGGAGGGAGACGCGCTGGCCGAGGAGCTCCTGCACGCCGTCGAGGAGGGAGGCGGTGAAGTCGGTGAAGTCGAGGGTGTTCTTCCTCATCAACACCACCGTGCCTTTCACGGCCATGCCCTTGGAGCCGCCAAGGATGTTGCTTCGGATCATCGTTGTCTCTACCGTAATGGGAGGGGCTAAGGAAGCAGAAGGGAGGACTGAAAGAGGAGGAGAAGTCAATGGTGGGGAGGGTTAGGGATGGAGGAGGGGATGTATATAACATGGAGGTGGAGCGTTCATCATCTTCTTGGCACTTTCCTCTCCCTCGGGGGGAATGTCTGTTTGATGGCCCTTTTTTGTTTTTTTTTTTTCTTTCCCTCGTTATATCACGTGATGGTCTCCTTTTCATCTTTCTCTCAACTTTTATCTTTCTTTGAGGTATGTAACCATTGTGAGTAGGCATGTTGACATGTATAATAAATAATACTATTCGGTTCGAAAAATATGATGGTTTGTATGTAATTCCAAGTTGGACTCTCATGTTTCAGTCCAAATTGATAGGCGAGCCTAGTCAGCAGCACACGAGAAGTGATGATGCCTTGGACAAGACAAGCGTGGGCTCCATATTGGACGAAATCTTGTAGATATCCTTAAGTTATCTATAGAATATTAAGAAAAAAATTATTAATAATTCGATGGTGACACAGGTCTGATTGTCTTTCTCATCGAGTTGGATCGGACAAAACTTCATCTAACATTTGTTTTTATACGAATGGCAAAAAAAAAAAAAGAGTTTGGAGTGTGAGTAGAATAGTGCTTTTCTTGTAAACATGCCAAAGGCATGCGATAGGGTTCATTTGTGACGCTCACAATAAAAGCTTGAGGGAGAAGAGATGATGTACAAGTCAACAAAATAAAACAAAATAGTGGTTTGAGAGCGAGCTTAAAGGGGGGAAAGAAGAAGGCGTTAAAAGGTATAATCTAAATTTAACCTCGAAAACCTTTTACGTGACTCTTGAATCTTTTTCCCTGTTAATTATTATTATAAGTTCATCACTTGAAGAAAAACAATCAATCTCAAGAATTAGGGTTTGCCTTAGATTTCATGGTGTTTTACTAGGCTAATAAGAAAGAATTCTTCTCTATTATATGATTGATTTGAAAGAATAGCTATGGATGTAGGTCTTCGTATCGGGCATTTGGATGATGATTCTAGAATATTTTATAAATATAAGGTACAAAAAATATGTATATAAAAAGCAAAATTTGTTCTATTGAAGAAGTAATTAAAAGATCAAATTTTATAAACTCTTGTAAAAATTAGAATTATTTTTCCAACTACTCCAACTACAAGTTCTAAACATAAACATTTGTCATGAAAAAATATTCATGTATTTATTTAAAAGAGGTTACAGAATATCACATGATTAAGAGATAAAAGAATCATGTAACTGACATATATATATATATATATATATATATATATATATATATATATATATATATATATATATATATATATATATAAATAATATAATATAGTATTTTTTTTATACTAATTTAATGAAAAAAAAATCACATATGTTTGTTAGCACTAAGCAGCTGGATTCAAACAAACACAATCGTACTTAATCGATTATCCTAATCGATCGATTGATTCACGCGCATGAAGGAGATAGAAGGCTGATGAAAGCAAACGAAGACCAAGGAAATGAGGCAGAGAGAAGAGAAGAAACGCGTCAGCGATGGGAAGGCTGATGAAAGCAAACGAAGAACAAGGAAATGAGGCAGAGAGAAGAGAAGAAACGCGTCAGCGATGGGTTGAGTCGTCGTTGCAGCGACTCATTTACGCCGTAGCAAGCAGCATTCTTTCTACGGGAGCTTCTTCGTATATTTTGGTGGCAGAAAGCTGCCACCGAAAACAAAGGTAGGAGATGGGGAAGTCAAAGTCACCAATGTGGTTGCGTGCAGCCATCATGGACGACTCCTTTCGTCCTTCACCGTGACGTGACAATTAGGCAGGCATGGTCCTCCGGATAAACCAAGTGACGATCCGAAGATTCCGTAGCATCCAACAAGAAGACAATTAATTAATTAATTAATTAATTAATTAATTAATTAATTGATTAATTAATTAGGCAAGCCTCGGGCGGAAGGCTTGAGGAGGATCCATCGATCGGTCCTGATGAAAAAAGAAGTGACCATCAAAAGATTTCGGAGCATCCACTCTCTCTTAGAAGAATCAGGAAGGAGGATCCCTCGATCGGTCCTGATAAAAGAAGAAGTGACCATCAGAAGATTTCGTAGCATCCAGTCTCTCGTAGAAGAATCAGGAAGAATGATTATCCACCATAAATTATTAACTAAATCGAACCCAAAGAATTCTTGTATTGTTCATATATGCATAAATCTTTGTCGAGTCCAATCAAAACTCGACCTGACAGGTCTATCTACTTACAATAATATCATAAAGCAAGACTTGTAGAGTAAACGTAATTCTTAATAGAAAATATTTTTCAAATGATAGATTATTAGGAGATTTGTTTTTCTCTATTCTACGGTATAAAAATAGTGAACTCTTCACGTACAATATATATATATATATATATATATATATATATATATATATATATATATATTCTCTATTAAATCAAATTCACGACAGAGATCAGATATATTCTATAAAGTCAAATTTACTATCAACATGAACACTAAGAAATTAAATTACTAATAATTTGAAGAGACTGCAACACTCTAGGGTGATTTATTCACACGTCAAGTAATGAATGTCATGTCAAATCTATCGTATCCGCACCCACGGCAATCTAATACGATACTTGTTGTGGATTGACAGACATGAATACTTTTCGATCCCAAAACACCTTTTAATAAAAGCCTTATCTCCTACTAATCTTTGGGCTAGTTGGATCTTAGTAGAAGCAACCCATGTCATTGTCCCTTTATTACTAGTCCCATGAATACAAGGTCTACCCAAAAAGGAAAAAAAAAAAAAACAATGATTGAGATTAAAAATTGTTGTGGCCTTTTTCAATAAAAAATTGACATACATGCTTTGAAAGATAGGTAAAGTTGGATTGAACGTGCTCCTACAACATCCACCAATTAAGAAGCCATAAAATCATATAGACTGTGGTCCATTAAAATTGAGTCCATGCAAAAACGACATCTTTTATAACTATATCATGTATAATCTTATGATATATTAATTATGATTTTGATAATATTATTATTTAATAAAATATAAGTACTTATATTATTTAATAAAATAAAATTCTTATGTATGCTTTAGATCTGGAAAACGATGATGTAGCCATGTCTAATAATATATGTCTATTGTTTATGAAATATCAATATAGATAGGATAATTTTTACCTTAAAAATACTTTTAGCATTAGGTTTTTATCATATGGTAACTCCATGATTAGTTTTTACTCACGGATATATATATATATATATATATATATATTATTTTTTTACTTTAACAAAAATAAGTGATTGTCGTTTGACTCGATCTTTTAAAGCCGGACCCTTTTTTTTTTTTAGCTGAATCAGATCAGATTGATTCAACTAAACCCTAACTATTTGATTTGATTCAACCACATTTGGCATTATGGAGCCTTAGTCTCGTCGTTACAAACATCCCTGCTTATCATGGTCACCAACAACCTCCTCGCAGCTACGATGAGCCCCGTTCGTCGATGAAGCCATGTGAAGCCTCAATGATCAACCGTGCATCACCCTAACCCCATTTATCTTTGTAGAGCCTCACTTAATCACTGCATCCTCTCTCCTTTTTTTTTTTTATGGTGCGTCTTTTACAGTTGGAAGGTTTGGCTAATCGAAGGCATAGTTGCGGTCATGACTCAGCTATGATCGAAGGCTATGAGGCAAAATGTGAAATGGTTACGAGCCTGCATGACTGACTACTATATCAATGAAACCTTTTTAGTGTTATAAGTGTCAAAAGAAGGCAATAGATAACCTAACGCTTCCTCACATTGGCACCTCGAGAGTAAGCATAAGCACAACTCATAGAACTCAATAAACAATGGAACAAGTAAACAAGCAAGCAGAATAAGCCTACTATTAGATGCACAAAAATGAAATAAGTTCAAGCCTCCACAGCGTCCTATGCATTGTCATTGAAGCCTTGACAACATCTTTGAAGCATTGACTATATCGACCAATCATTCATTGTATAGTATTAGATGAATATATCTTCGTTTTATTCACAATAATTTGATATTATTAAATTTGAATGTTATTTAAATATTAAAAAGATTATTTTTGATAAGGTTGATCCTCTTCCAAATGAAATATTCAATATTAGATAGACGATTTCAATGAAATACAACCTTTATTGATATCGAAATCAAAAATATTTTCGAAATCAAAAATATTTTTGGAAAGTAGTCATCCGATACTAGATCAAGTTAAATGATCTACTTTTGTGCAACTTCAAATATTATACTTTGTTTTGGGAAGTAAACATGATTTACAAAAACAAATTGAAGGATCTTCTTTTGTATAATCTCAAATTTGTGACACTGATTTGAATGTAACATTTATAATGGATGACAATGAAAATAATTATGAGATATGTGAAGGATAGGCTAAACAGAGAATAGTATAAAAAGTCAAAGAAGACACATATCATAATATATTCAATGATTACATTTTTGTCGATGAACTTATCATACTCAATTCAAATATATATGAAAACCTCTTTGAAGATAGGGTTATGGAAAAAGATGGTTTATGTTAGGATCGGGGTCGGCACTAAGAGGGGGGAGGGGGTTAATTAGTGCAGCGATAAAATAACGTCAGTTTAAAGACTTCGTTGCGATAAAACCGATTTCGTAAAGATGTTAACTTGAAAGCGTGTTTGTAAAAGAGTAGTGGATGAAAAGAGTAAGTAAGGAGGTCTATAGTTAAACTAAATTACACAAATAAAACGTAAATAAGATTTTAGAGTGGTTCGGTCGTCGTGACCTACATCCACTTCGTCGATTCCTCTTTCGTCGAGGCAACCGGCATCCACTATCGATCTTCCTTTAATAGGCGAAGATCAACCTCCTTCTTACACCCCTCTTCTCCTTTTATCGGGTTTAGGAGACAACCCTTACAAGCACTCACTCTCTTCTCTAAACAGAAATCTATGTTTAAGCTAGAGGAGGGATTTCTCAAGTGATTTCTAAGCATTTCTTCACTTTTAAACTCTTTGTGCTTGTATGTTTTAACCAGGGATGAGAGGGGTATTTATAAGCTTCAAGTTAATTCAAACTTGGAGCCTAAAAACTTCTTATCTCGGGTTTCTTGGGCACGGGC